ATAATAATGATGATGGTGATGATGTAACCTTCATATATTGCAGTGCGTACAGCAGCATGTCTGAGTAAAATGCTTTTATTGTGATTTACAAAAATGAGGCGTGCTTTTTTAACAAGTACAGTTATTGTTCTTAAATCATGCAATAACATTTTAGCCTCTCTTCATGCCTGAAAATGTTCAGCTCTAGTATTTGTTACTTGAGGACACTATTATGTCTGTAAATAAGAGCTTAATACTAACCCTGTCTCAGCATGATGTGCTACTTGTCCTTTTACTAGAACGTGATCATTTTGTGCATTATCCTCTGGTTTTATGGCACGGTCTGAAGCAGTCTCCACAAGCACAGCTCCCTCTGACTGAATACTGTGGGCATGCGGTACATGCGGAAGGTCCTTGCTTTGACATGTAAGCTGAAAGTGCGAGTGACGATCGTATTCACTGGGTGCTTTTAATTGGCAGGCCTTACAATGTGAAGCTTTGTCTCTAAGAAATGGTATTAATTTGTGAGGGAAATACTTTTTTTTTTTTTTTTTTGGAAATGTACCAGCTGAAGCATTAGAGTTAGCAATATGAAGTTCAGTATGCCAGAAGAATTTATGTGGTTGAATAAGTGAAGAATGTAGTTCGGTTACAGTGACTGTGGTTTCAAAGTATTTCAGTACGTCAGCATGTGCAGATACCCTATATTTTTTTTGTGCAGTTGATGCTAAAATCTGTGACATCAGTGGGAGCCAAGGGCTGCCAGAATCTTGCAGGTTTGGACTCAGTATGTTGTTTTCAGTTAAATGAAAGAGCTCTATCTAGTTTATGCTCTGTCACCTGAGAGTTTATTTCATCTAGTAAATAGTAAAATAACCTTTACTTGTCTGGTTTTTCACCTTGTTCAATTGACTGTCTGTCCACCATAGCAGGAGGAACATTCGTATCATGTTCCTCATGCACTGTATGGGCTGGTACTCTGGATTGCCTTACCCAGGTGGTACCCGCCTGCTCTCTGTGGGTTCAGAGTGCTCCCAGGTAGCAGTTAAAAGACCAATGAAATGTTTAGTGTATGCGAGAAACTAATCATATGAGGTGTTGGTTCAGAAGCTGTAGTAAAGCAACAGCAAAGAAATTTCAACCGTTTATATTCAAAGTCAGAGATGAAGTGCTTTATTATATCTGTGTTATTCCTGAAGAGTCGACATAGGATGTATTTAGCACTTCATAGAAGACTCTCAGGCACCTTCCAGGTTTCTGGCTATGCTGGCTAATCCTGTAAATATAGATTGAGGTAGTACAGAATAACCTTTTAAAGTAGCGCTGGTAGTGCACCAGAGGTAGACGTCTTGTGCCAAATGACCAATAGTCCTTTTGATTTTATTTTTTTTTTCTCCATGAGACACTAAGCATATTACCATCTTTCTTCCAAGACAAACTTACTTTTGTTTGCATTTCATATTGTCTCCCTGTGTGCTGTGTATAATGCGGCAATTGGTCAGCTCTTCATCAAGTTGCAGCCAAAGCTGATGGACATTAAGGTGCAGTAACTGTGTATGTCTGTGCTTGTGTTTCAAACGAAATTCAGTGGGTAATGACAACGTATCCCTCCCTCCCCTATTGCTTGAAGTTTCCCTAATTTAAAATAAGTTGCAGCAGTTGAACCGCTGTAATTTTCACAGGGCTTCTTGCATTCAAATTCATTGCTGTTTGTCGATGACCTCTCTGTTGACATCATGTGCTTACCAAAGTCTTTACTGATTATGCCTAAAATGGTTGGATGGACAACATGAATCACCAAAAAAAGTGTGCTGATTAATTTTGGACAAATACTTGATGTTAAGTTGTCAAGATCTGTCAGGAGAGGTGGAGACTGAATGTATCTCTTCTATTGCTGTTTGATATGATTTAATAGTTTGCTTTCCAAATATACGTAACATAGGTCAGTCTGTCTCGCTTCACCCAGGTTGGTGTGAGGTTAGTTTTAGGGAGCTGGTTCTGAGCATTTCAGACCCAGAGTTGTCTGCCAGGCATCTCTCTGCTGTGAGGGTGCGTGCTACACCTGAGCCACCTTCCATGGGAGAAGGTTAGGATTTTCCTGTCCAGCTTGTCCCTCTGTCCTCAGGCACTTTTAAACACAGTAGTCAGCAGTCAGGTTACTGACTATGTTAAATAAGCCTGTATATTTTCTGACATTTTATACAGACTGCTCTTCAGACTGTATTATGGCACTTTTTAGAGATCAGCTTGGTTGCTGTTCTTTATCTTCAGAGTTCCAGGCTTATGCTTTGCCATAGTGTGACACTTGGGTCTATATGTATAAACCTTCGGTATCCTGCCTGTGTTTTTAAGAACATTTTAATTAAGTGCAGCAGGAGGGCATAGGAGTTGAATTGTTTGATAACAGTTTAGTTTTTTTTTAAAAAAAACACCACCAAAAAACCCACCACACTCAACCACCCTCCCAAAACAACTATGACCTCCCCCGAACCCCAGGTTCATCAATAAATTAATCTTTGATATAGTCCTCTATCCATCATTGCTTTTATAAGCACTGAAGTATCACAAAGGATTGGAACTGTTGCTATTTGTCATTTTATTAATCTCATTACCACACTTAGGAGGTTGTGCCTGCCATGAGGAGCAGATTGTTCGGTGCACTGCGCGAACAGGCTGCCGAAGCTGGCTAGCTGGTAACGAACACAGTCAAGGGCAGGAGAAACAGCACTCGAGATCCCAGCTCAGTCCTTAACAGTAATTACTGCTGGAACAACCAGGATACACAACACAAGTAATTTTGTGACTTGAGCTGCCAACCTGGTGGGGAGATGCCTAGGCTGTGGTGATCGCTCCCATTGGAGCTCGTGAAGCCAGAGTGATCTTCGGGAAGGTGAAGTTGCAGTTTCAGGAGACGGAGTTTTTTGGCAGCAGCTGAGGCCGCTGTCATGCCGCCTCATATCCGTTGTGTTGGCACAGCCTTGTGTGTAGAGTTTGGTTTTCCCACTTTCAGGGCGACTCTGCTGATCTATGTTTAGATGAAGTTCTCTGAAGGGAGTAGCACACAATGCTTGGTTGGAAAGAGCAGAGCTGGAAGTGCACTTTGCACAGAGCCTGGTATCTGCCTGCTGGTCAAAGGTTCCTGCAAACCTTTCTGTCGCCCCTTGGCTGGTGTAGGAAGGAGAAGCTTCTGGGTTGTGGCCAGCTTGAACAGGAGACGTTAGGTCTCCCCACAGAAGAGAAAGGTGAAAGGAGGAGCACTGAGGCAGTTCAAGCAGGCTCACGCTGTTGTATTCAGGCACCCAGAAGGAGGGGGTTTATAGTGTTTTTTTTCTTGAGCCCTATTCTGACTCTTGTTCAATAGACTCTGATGTCGAACTGGTATCAGGGGAACTGTAATTTAGTGGCTTGGAAAGATAACCTAGTTACTCTGAGAACAGATACCAGAATAGATCTGTTAAGAGTTACGTTACGAAAACAGAAACTTCTCCATTCTTCCTGTAGTATTTTGATGCCTGATACTCTTTTGTAGATTAAACCTCTTGTTTTCTCTAAATGATGGTTATTCAGCTCAAAACTTACTGTGTGGATTGCTGTTTTTATTAGGTGGAAGGACAGTTAAGAATTTCCCCTTTCAGTTGTTAGGAGTGTTCTCAAATATAATGCGGATAATTAGGATGGTGGAGATAGCACAAGCCAAATAACTTGTGTGACATTTGAAGTTTGAGTCCCTGTGAAGGATTGGTTATTATAATATCCTTGGATATCAAATTTGAGCTAGTTAAAATAATAGCAAAAGAGCCTCATCTCAAGAACATTTTACAGTTTATTTCTGTTCTAATTTTGAAAGATTTTTAGCTAATATAAAATTGAATCTGTGCTGCTTTTCTGCCTCTTGACAAAAGCTTAGTATTCTTAGCAGCCATAGAAGTTATGCTGTAGAAAGTAAGCATAAATGCAAGAGAAGTCTGTTGGAATTACAGGATTACAGTAGGCAGTAGCTCGCTATTTTTATTATATCCAAATTAGGTTATTGCCTGAGTTACCCGTGTGTGTTTTATACTGCTTGACACTAGACATTTTAACATACCTGAAGACCTTCAGGTATTTCCCATATAAATAATTTAAACCCCCCCCCCCAACACACAGATTCTCATATGTGTTATATAAAACAAGTACTATATTACTTAACATTAACCAAAATGCAACAGAAGTAGCCCTATAAATGGTGGTGTTTGGAGCAGATATTATAAAAATGTCCTACGTAAAAAAAAAAAAAAGCTGAAGTAAAACGGAGCTGGGCGCAAGTAGCCGTATTTTGTCTTCAGAAGTGTCGTTAGGGCTCGGTGGCGTGCAAGTTCAGACCCACAGCCTGCTGCTCTACCCAAAGGTTAAAAAGAACCAAATGGCCGGGAGCGGAGGAGACAGCAGATGGTACACCTGGACCTACATGTTCAGGGTGTCTTCAGGTTAATGAATAATTAGCCTGAGAGAGAGAATTAGCCCTGCTGGGAAAATAATAACTGCTGGTCATTAGTTATTGGAAGTTCCTGTGGCACGGTATCACGGTGGGAGCGTGTGGTGGCAGGAGTGCCGGAACTCTTGTCGGGGTGGCTATCATGTGTCGAACTGTGTGCCTACGTGTCATTAAAGCAGTCAACAGGTAGGATTTAAGGCAGTACTAGAGGTTCAAGTTGTCCTTGTTTTGATTAATGTTGTAACATGGTTTATTGCCTGATAATTATAGGCCATGGCGTGAATATTTCCTGCTCTCCCCAAGAAATCAGCAGCATGATTCTTCTAATGGACCTGCCTGTGGTAGTCCATCAAAGAAGTGGTTGGGTGCAATAACCTGATTCAATATTACAAACAGTTTGAATGTAAAATATTAATGGATCTAAATAAAGGTGGTATTTTTTAAAGATTACATTGGATAATGTATTTTTTTGCTTCTGTAAAGCAAATACACTGAATTATGTTAATCTTCATATTAAAAGCAACTGTTTTGCTTTCCTTTGTTGCAGATCACCAGAAACTGGAAAGAGAAGCTAGAATCTGTCGCCTCTTGAAGCATCCCAATATTGGTAGGAACATTCAGTTGCTTTATACGGTAGATAACAGTTTAGAAAATTGAGGGAAAATACAAAATAACAAATACAAATAGCAGCTCAGAGAAGTCAAGTGGAAATACCTCTAGGCAAAACTATTTCTTTATAAAGAATATTCCTGTCTAATTCTGCTATGGGTTGTAATATCCCAATAGATCGCCTAAAGCAACATGTACTGTTCTCATCTTATTTTGAGCTATTGCTCTGCCATCAGCGAGCTGTCGATGCCAGGTGTTTGGGGTTTTTTTGAGCAGTGTGTAGGAGGAGTTATTTCCAGTACTGCTCATGACTTTTTGCGACCTGCAGAAGAATTTAATCTAACAGCATATGTTGCAAAATGAGATGGACCAATGTCGATAGAGTTAGTGTTGTTTTTACTGAGATGCTTATTTTATACTGTTTTATTTTGCGTTCGAGATCCTATTCTTCTGTAGAAAAGATAGGTAGATGCAGAAAGCTCTGCTCCTTTTATTTCCAGAATTGGAAACTGTGTTTTCTACTCAGGCATTCACGGAAAGCAAAAAAAGATATTTGGGAGGGATGGGGTCTGTCTCTTTGCTTGCTTTGGAAACAGATAAGTATGTTGATCTTTTAAGGAGTTGTATCTGAGTTTTTCAGAAACTGAATTATATGCCAAAGGTATCTCTCAGAAGAATATTTGCTGTACCTGAGACTTCTGTGGAAGGGTGGGATTTTCCTGTCTGTCTTGTTGCTCTGTCCCCATGCACTTTCTTAAAAGCTGTCATCAGATCTCACTGAATATTTTGAATAAATGCTTGGTACTCCAGAAGCACTTAGCAGTCTGCTTGCTCTTCCTCCTAGTTAGTTTTTCTCCTTTTCACTTTTAACTAACAAGTGCTGGTATTTGTGACATTTTTAGACTAATGTAATTGGTTCGTGCCTGGGAAAGAATCAGCTCCTTCCTTTTAATAATCACCATAAATTGAAAACAAATGTACCATAGTTCAAAATGAAATGTCAAATCGCCGAAAAAGCTCTCTTACGCAGTTTCAAAAGCTTAGAGATTTCACATGCAAATTTAGTTGAAGAGGAAGAGTAGTGTTATCTGCGTTATTTTATCCCAGCCAAAATTTTTGCATTGTAAAGTGATGCAAGACAAGGGAATGTAGAACTTGTTGCGGGAGGAGCTGCAGCTCTTCTGCAGTTATGGAAAGCAGTGGTTACACATATGGTGCTAGCCTGACTCTAGAGTCATTTAGCTGTGCCTTGCTGTAACTATTCTTAGAGTATATTTGTGAGTTTGAACAAGCCAGGGAAGACGAATTACAAACAATAATAAACTGATGAAGTGGAAGAGCTGAAGTGCACAGAACTCAGTTGAAACAAATGTCTGAATTGATGTCGTGCTATCACGTGTCTTGGGTTTGTTGAGTAGCTTGGACCAATATTAGGATGTAGTCCCGTTCCTCTGTGGCAGACCAGCTGTTCCACATACGGTGTTTGTATTTGTGACCGCATGGCTTGAAGTGCAAACCGGCGATGACAGCTTTGGTGACAGGCAGGTAGGGTTCTGTAAGTCAGCACAAATTCCCTGCATCGCTACCTGCGCCAAGGTGCGCGATTCAGTCGAAGGATTATAGACAAATTCTTCTTCTTCTGTTTTAGAAAAGATGCCATGTTCTATGTCTGTCTGAGAGAAGAGTGTCGTGACTTGGAATTAACACGCCAGGGTTTGGCAGCAGGCGTTCTCTTCTGTCGTCGTTCAGTTTCTACTGTCAGCAGTTCTGCCAGCCCTGCCTGTGTATCTGCCGCAAAAAAATGTTCCAATTAGTGTGGCTACAATAGTTCCTTGTCTGCATAATTGCTCGAGTGAAGGCCACTTTGTATCTGGTTTCTCTCTTGGAGGAAGACCATAAATGTGGTCTGAAAATGAGAAACTGTTTTTGTAAGTTTAGAAAGGTAACTCTTTTCAAAAGGTAGTAATTTCAGGCCTCTCAAGTCCTGTCACCTAAGCTGTGGGGCTGGAGAGGTTCATGTCTGCATGCTGCACTGGCTGGCCTATCTCCGCTGCAGCTCCAAGCCCGGGCAGTGGTTTGCTCTCGCCCCTTCTGCAGCCATGCCCTCAGCCAGCTGAATGTTAACCCTAAAATCATTCCAGGTGCATGCTGCTACCTCACTGAGTGTCTTCTCCTTGGGCCACTGTCACATCCCTTTTTTAAAAAAGTCATCTGTAATGGGTAATAACACTACATCACACTAGAAAGCACTAATAGCGAAAAAGGAAGCATACCAGAGTAAGGTAACTCGGCTGTAACGGCAGAGATTATAGTGTGCTTTATATGTCTTGAAATGGCGAAGATTAACCCTTGTAAACACGTTTTAATTGCACTATGTACATGACAAAGAGTATGTGTGTTCAAAAATATTAGCAAGTCCATGAATATAAAATTCGTGCTTTTCTCCTGATCTGTGTTTTCTCCTGAATTTACTGCCACTTGTTAATTTCTAATAGCTGCGAAAAGATTATTTGAAAAGCAACTGGCAACATTAACAATAAGTATACGTAACCTAAGAAAATTAAGAAAAAAATTTATAAAAAATATTTTTTTTAATGTGATCTCTATAGGAAGGCAGAGATCTCATTTAATTGGTTGGGCAGTTTCTCAAAGATGGTCTCAGTGATTATTTTCCTCCAATGTAGTTTTTTTTAGTTACTTGTCTTCTTGAATTACACATTCATTGCAGGGCAGCGGATTCCGGAAGTCAGAATTCAGTAATCGTTTCTCTTTTCTTTCAAGCTTATTCTTCCTAGTTAGCTTGATTAAATCTCCCTTCAAAAAGTGGCTTAGTGTAAAGGTCTCAGTTTCAGGTTAACTTTATAATAATACATATATAATAGTGCTTCTTTTTAGAGTGTTGTATGGTCTCTTTGGTTAATTATCTTTCAAGTCTTAAGACTGTCATCAGATATTTTAGGGTGAAAAACCCTTTTTGATTACCTTTCTCATACTTTTCCTCCAGTGAGAGTAAAGTAGCACAGCTGTGGTGAATTACATTTTTAGGTTTTAGCCTGTAACTAAATGTATTGTAGTTTCCACGAGAGAGATTTTTTTTTTTTTTTTTTCTTTAGAGAAACAGAGTTTAAAAAAAATTCTAAACCACTGGAAATATTTTCCCATTATCTTTCCAGAGAAAATAGAGAATTATCAGAAACTTTTACAGATCACTGGGTTTGTATTTCCAAGGTAGGTGTTCAATTAGTACCTAAGTGGAAAAGTATTCAATATTTAATTATTTCATCAGGATAAGAAAGAATTTAAGACTAAACTTATTAACAATCAACATACCTATTTTTATCTTCTGAACAATACCATTTTTATATTCATTTCATATCTGGTTTGGTGGTAGTTTTATTTAATGAGTGCCATTATGCAGTTAGGAAATCTTAGGATGACATTTAAAAAGGCCTTCAATCTTAGTCTGTATTCGTATGCACTGAAGTTCAGAAGTTCCTCTAGTATTGGCAGGGGAGTCTTAAAATTGGACGTAAGGTTTTTTTTAAAATGTAGAATTTGAACAAAAGATTTGAAAAGCAGCAGATGGGGGAAAAATAGAAGACTAAATCAGAATGCTTTCAAAAGGATAAAACTCTTGAGATTTGAAAATTAAGGAGACACATGTGGAAGTATTTTCATTTCAGTTGTTGATTTGAATCTGCCCAAGTAGTCGCAGTAAAATGTTTAACACAAAAAAACTGAGAAGAAACAGATATTTTCTGATGCCTTTTGGAAGTATTTATGACATCAGATTATTATTTCAGGATTGAGATACCTACCAAAAGTTCACAAATAAAGTATTTAAATGTATATTGAGGGAGCTTAATTCTTACTAGGCATTTCTACTGAAAGAACAATTTGGAATTAGGATAGGATACCAAGTTCTGAATTCACGTATGAAAATTTAAATCCCTGATGATAATTCTTGCTAGACAAGTGTCAGGAAGGGAAGCTAACTAAATAAAAATCCAGCTACCTGGCACTTCCAAGTCCTTGCAAATTGAAGAAATCCATGGTAATTCATTTTGATACACAAATGTTGTGTTGCTTGATATAGATATATGTGTTTATGCATCGCTAAGCCTATAGGAGCATGCGGTCATTTGAAAAATGCTTTTTAGATGCAGCATATTTTTTAATTTTTTTTTTTTTGGAAGCAGATCTTGCCAAGTGCCCTTGATACCCTTTTAATGAAGTCATGAATCTAGCTACTAGCGTAAACTGCCTTCTGTAAGGGATTTGTTCTACTACTGTATTATGTGCTAATGTTTTTATTATGGAAAATTGGTGTATTCTTTGTTATGGACATTAGGAAAACAGATAATCACAGTAAAACATTTAAGGTGGTAGTTCTCGTATGATGGGATTATCTGTGGCGGGGGCCTAAAGAAGTCTCATTCAATATTTTTATCAACAGATTTAAAGAAAAGAATTGAAGTGGTATCAGTTTGATATGGTGGGACTAAGGAGACTTACAGCCAATAGATGTGAGCTCACATATCTAAGAACAGTATGTCAGTCTTCAAAGAGGAGCGTCTGCATCTTGGAAAAGAGTGACTTTGAAAAGCCTGCGATGACAGGAAATAACTACTTGAACACAAATCTCACTGGGATGTTGTAACACCCAGGGGAAATACCGTTCTCAGATGCATGGAAGTAACAGTCAGAAAGAGGAAAATAGTATTTATTTTGTATCTGCCAACAGAAGTCACTTCTAGAGTACTATGCTGAGCTTTGACATCCGCATGCCAAGAAGTATGATCTAGGTAAAGGGGCTGATCTGAGGAGGTCTACCAGAATAACCAGAAAATGTTGTTTATCAAGAAAAAGGCAAAAAGAAACATGACTATAGTGATGAAGTTAAAGATAGAAGTTAGTTTTTTGTCAATGAAAGTATCAGAATTGCTTAGGGGTATGATGTTTTCTGACTTGAAGTGTGAAATTTTTTTTAGGCTTTAT